GGTCATCATCACCCATCTACCCCCAACCTCAACCTTGGCCTCTGCCCCTGGTATTCTAGGTTCTGATAGTGAGCTTTCACCTTATCTTGCCCAGGGTCAGGCCTCCACACCATTTTCTGGCCATTTCCACGCCATTTTGCCTCCCTTTCCAGCGTCCCTTTATAGGTTGTCTTCCCCTAACTGGAATGTGAACTTCTTGAAGGTAGAGGCTGTCTTACTTGTATTTCTATCCTCAGTGATTAACACTGCGCTGAGCATAAAGTAAGAGCTTAATAAATTCTCTTCCTTCCTCCTCCCTCCCTCCCTCTCTCTCTGACTGTTGGTTGAAGAGGAATAAAAATGCTGGGCATGGTGGTGTTTACCTGTAGTCTCTATTTCTCAGGAGGGTGAGGTTAGTGGATTGCTTGAGTCCAGGAGTTCTGGGATGCAGTAGCATTAAAGCCAATCTGGTGTCTGCACTACATTTGGCATTAATATGGTAAACCCTTGAGAAGGGAGGGCCGTCTAGCTGTCCAAGGAGAGACCAACCAGCCCAGAACCATAGGTTTGTGTTTGTACGTATGTTGGGGCATCGGCCAATGAGGCCAGTCTCTATGAGAAGGCACAGAAGGTGCACTGCTTATGCAGTTTCCTCAGTAGAAGAGCTGGAGAACCTGTTTCTGGGAAAGTCATGAGCCCAGAATTCTCCCTGGTTCCAGGGCCAGCTCTCTATCTACTATGCTATGCTTTTTCTGAAGCATCAGTGAAGAGCATGCCTATAATTAATAATGAGAGCAAGTATATAAAGGTGTAACTCACATAGCATTTCTGTTTATTTATTTATTTTTTTTGCTAGGCAATGGGGTTAACTGACTTGCCCAGGGTCACACAGCTAGTAAGTTCCAAGAGTCTGAGGCAGGATTTGAACTCAGGTCCTCTTGACTGCAGGGCTGGTGCTCTATCCACTGTGCCACCTAGCTGCCCCCTTCTCACATAGCATTTTGACATAGTGGAGAGAGACATGCATGGACTTTGAGACAGGCAGAGATAGGTTTAGATCCTACCTCTGATATAAATTGTGTGGCTATGGGCAACAATGGATCTCTCTCTGACTGTCAGTTTCCTCACCAGTGAAATGGGGATCATAGTACTTAGTCCCTACTTCACACACAGTTACTGTTTGGCTCAAATGAGACTATTTGAGTAAGGAACTTCAAGAACCCTAAAGCCTACTTAAACATCAGATGTCACAATTCTGACTCAGCTTTTGCTCCTCCTACTAAGAAAAGTGAGAAGATTGCAATGGTATCTGTGTTGTCTTGGAATCACAGATATAATTCTGTTTTGTGTTGAAGGTAACAGGAGAGTGTTTACCATTGATGACGTGTTTTCACTTGACAATCAACAAAGGATTCTCTCTTTAATGTGCACTGGAGTGGTGGTGGCTGAGGTGGCTGAGGTTGGCATATGTTTGATGTGGGTCAGGGAGCAGGGCAAGGAATCGAAGTACTTTCCATTGACTAAATCAAGGTTCTCTCTCAGTCTTCTGTTAACTAGGATCCTAGATTTAGAAATAGAATGGAAATCATAGGTCATTTAATAAAATCCAACATCCTCATTTTAAAGATTAAGAAGCTGAGATCCAAGGTGGTTCTCTGACTTTCCCTAGGTCATACAAGCAGTGAGTAGATTTGAACCCAGGTCCTTAGACTCTAAATTCAGTTCACTTTCCATTTCTCAACATTAAGGAGGCCCTGAACATCTATGACTTTCTTTCCAGGATTCTGGGACCCTTACCCATTTCTTGATTCCTCTAGTGCCTTACTAGTGCCTTCCTCAATTACCTGGTACTTATTTTGTATCCCATACAAATGTCCATACTTTCTCCTGTGATAGAATGTAAGCTTATTGAGGGTAGGGACTATTTCATTTTTGTTTTTGTTTCTCTAAAGTCTAGCACAGTGTCTGGCATACAGTAGGGGCTTAATAATGCTTGTTGATTGACTAGTATAGATTTTGTATTTTCTTATATGTATACATGTTGTTTTCCCCAGTAGAATGCAAACTCCTTGAGAGCAGGGAATGTTTCATTTTTGTCTTTTCATTCCTAGTGACTAGCATAGTGCCTGACACTTTGTAGGTGCTTAATAAATGTTTGTTGATTGATTGGTTAGATAGATCTTCTTTGGCTGACCTCACCTAGTGCTGATTGCCATATTTAAAACACAAGCAGTTTGGATTATTGGATGGACTTTAGTTTAATGAAAAGCTGTAACTTATTCTTATAGGAAATGTAAGACTATTTTTTTCAATCAATTCACTATAGATGTTATTAGATATGATGCATGAAATGGGAATGAATGATAGCTCTCCAAATGACATTGTTTTGTACCACCTACATCTAACTCTGCAGGATCAGGAAATGATTCAATATTTAAAGTTAGATGTAGTCAGAGACTAAAGTCATACATACTGCTCAGTTGGTCCACATTTTCTTTCTCTTTCTGTCTTTGTCTCTCTCTCTCTGTTTCTCTTTCTCTATTTCTCTCTTCCTCCTTCTTTCCCCCCACTTCTTGCTTTTCCTTGCTTTGTGCCACATATATTTAGATTTTACCGTTCCTTTATGGCGGCAATCATATCTTTGACATGGTTGGAACCATGGAACCTTCCAAAGAAAAATAAAGAGTGAGGGTAGGATCATAGATCCAGAGCTGGAAGGCACATTAGAGTCTATTATAATATCCTCCTTTTGCAGATAAAAAGACTTGTAGGACAGAGGTATCTGAAAGGATTTTGATGTTTCACAGAATCACAGCCTCTAAGGCCATCTATTCCATCCCATACTCTGCTATTGCCAACAGGCAATTGAAGCAGAGACTGCATCAATATCTCCAGGAGAGGGTTTTCATTACTTCTCAAGTCATCCCATTCTACTTTGTAGCTAGAGCTGTCACAGAATTTTAGAGCTGGAAGGGAGCTCAGTATTTTTTTAATCTATAGAACAGAGATGATACTTTTATGTCCTTCACAGGGCTATGATGAAGAAAGTGCTTTGTAAGCTGTAAGGTATTCTATAAATATGAGCTACTGTCATGGAACACATGGCCCAGAACTGAAGGTCTATGTTTACATGTATAATGGGGGATTGGCCAATGAGGCCAGTCTCTATGAGCATGCACAAACTGACATAATTTCCTAGGTGGTAGAGCTGGGGGACCCATTTCCAGGAGAGTCCTGATGTGTAATAGAAATGCCTTGGAGAGACTTTGGAGCATGGAGAGATATGAATCAAATGTCCATGGATCAAGAAAATAACCACAAGTGGAATGTTGTGATTGGCTATAGTTATTGAGTTGGAACTAAGAGGCTTTCAAAAGACTCTAGACTCAGCTTCTTTCTCTTAGGTAGACTTTTCTTTGGTTTAATTCTTCTTGCTTGATAGTCTTTGGTGATAGAAAATGTTATAGGAGGAGAAGCTTGGGTCCCAATGAAGACAACATGTGACCTACAGACTTTGGTTCTTTGCATTGGCATTTATTCTATTAATTTAGGTGAGATTAATTTGGAGGTGATGACCTTGTGAGTTTTGAAAGGTCGTGAGAATAAGCAACTCCTGGTCCTGGAGGCTGAGGGTTGAGTTTATGATGGGTTTAGCAATCAGCCCAGCTTTGATCCTCCAAAGAATGAAGAACAACCTTGGGGATCCAGCCCAGTGATAGCTAAGAGGAAGATTCATTTGGAAAGGGTGCTACATTTGGATAAGAACTTGGTGAGGCCAATGGTAGGTAGAAACTGTGTTAGGTCTGAGCCCACCCTCCCCAGTGACTGAGGTACATATAAAATAGTCAGAGATGTTGAGTTCTTGCTAATGAGCAGAACTAAGAAAATATTGTATATGATAACAGCAATATTGTTTTAAGGATGACTTTGAGTAAGTCATTTTGACTATTATAAATATCTGAATTAACTATAAAAGACATATGAAGAAAGATGCTATCTGTATCCAGAGAGAGAACTCATAAATAGAAGTGTGTATAGAATAATTTTACGTATATGTGTGTGTATGGATATGTGTGTATACATATATATGTATGTGTATATATGTGTGTATGTGTGTATGTGTGTGTGTGTGTGTGTGTCTAATGGCAGCCATCTCTATGGTAGGGGAGAGGGAGGGAAAAAGGAAAAAATAAATTTACATGATAACTTTATTATATATTTAAAAGGAATAGCAAGTTGTATACAAGAGTTTTATAGTTTCATGTATAATCATCTTTTTTATTGTACTATATTATGGAAATGCTTATTTTATTCCATGAATTTAAAATTAAATAAATGTGAAAAAAGATATCAATATCTTTTTGTAAAAGTTAATGGATATTAAGTGGTTAAATGAGAACTGGTGGCTAACAGTGTAGGGAACAAACCCAGAATGGGGGCTTGAGCCAATTGTGGTAGAAAAGAACACATCAACTCCTCTGGGATACAACACCCTGATTCTGACTGTGTGTCACCTAACATGAATAAATCTCAAGGCAGAGAACCAAGACAAGTCATCATTCTCAGGCCACATGTTGGCTTGCTTGATCTGCTAAGATCTTTTTGAATCCTTACTCTTTATGTAACAAGTACAACACTAAGCGGTGGGATTGCAAATAGAAAAGCAAGATGGTGCCTGCTCTCAAAGAACTCATAATATAATTTGGGGAGACAACATATATAAAAGGGTCCAGTTGTATAGAAAATGGAAAGACCCAATGGTTGGGAAAACATAGTGGCCAGGGAAGATGGTAAACCTGGGGATCTGGAGGATATAGTGACAGAGCAGATCATCAAGCCCAATGCTACCATGTTACTGGGGAGAATGATAGCTGACTTTTCGTCCATCAAAAGAGTGTGAATGTCCATGTCTGCCTCATTTCTGGTGGGGAGAGCTAGAAGAGCTTTAGAATTAGAATGGAATAGACTCCAGAATTCAGGGAGAGGTTGGTGGAAAAGCTCCAATATGAGCTCTACCCTCCATGGTACAGTCTGGGTTAGGTATGGGAATGGGGAAATATGACCAACTTAACTTTATATTTAGAGAGATTTTGTTGTATTTTTTGGTCGTATTTTTGTTTTTGTTTTTTTTGTATTTATATTTGTTTGTATTTTTTGTTGTATTTTTGATTTAAAATATTATTTCAAGTGGAACATGGACCTCATAGAAAGGGAAATTAAAAAAAAACACATTTGTGCTTTTTCTTAGGATGTCTAGCCTTTTTGATTTTAACTGTAGAGAGGGCCAGGTATCTTCTGGAAAATGCATCAGAGAGCACACTGGTTACCACAATCACGGCAGCTGTTTCTCATCATGACTCTCTAGTTGGAGATCCTGTTATTATTAATTCGAACCCTGTCGTCCATCCATTTGTGGTATTTCATAAAGCTGCATATCAGTGGGAAGTAAGTACATAGCTCAAGTGTATATTTACTTAGAATAAAAAGTCTTTGTAATTAACCCCACTCTTTCCCTCCACTACCCTCTACTGTATAGTATAATGTCCAAACTCTTTGGATGTCAAAGAACATTTTAATAACCTACCAAATTATACTTGAATATCCCAATTCACATGTGAGTCAGGAACAACTTGGGGGTTCACTTGGAGTCTGGGTAGTAATTGACATCAGAGCTTTAGGGCTAAAGAGGACTTACCAAAGCAGTATCCCAGAGAGATACCCTGACTTACCAGTATAAAGTTGAAAAAAAAACTGTCTGTTTGCTGTTTTCAGGTGTTTCTGCACATAGGCTTGATTCTTTTGAATTAATCACTAATCAAATCATCTCTAAGCATAGCTCTACCTGGAGTCTATGGCATAATTTCCCATTCCATGGGTTGGGACTCTTTGGCATGTTTCATTTTTAATTTTTTTTTTGCTCATTGTCAGAACTAGAGGGTGGATGATGGTTGAGGTAGATTGATTTGTTTACCCTCTTGACCCAGTGAAAGAGAAGAAACATAATGAAAGAAAGAGCTAGAGCTACTGATGAATATTCATGAGTGCAGGCCCTACCTTTAAAGGAATTCTATCAACCCCAATCAAGTTGGACTTTGTTGACCTATGATTGAAGGATTCAGAAGTGACTGAGATTTGTCTATATTGGGGAATCCATCCCCCTTTTTCTCTTCCTCTGCATAAAACCCCATTTCTAATAGGTTAACTGATGATCCAGGAGTGAAGCTTGTGGAACAGAGTGGGGTTGGTTATATAGAACTGTCATAGAGATGATAATTGAACTCATGTGAGCTGATGAGGTTAGAAAAAGAAACTAGGGAAGGAGAAGACAAGAGGGCTCAAAATAGAACTTTGGGGAATATCCACAGTTAGGTGGCATGATGTGGATCATGACCCAGCAAAGGAGATTGACAAAGAATGATCAGAGAGGTAAGAAGGAAGGAGTAGATGAAACAACATTTATTAAATACCTACTTATGCCAGACACTATGCTAAGTTTTTTACAAAAATTACCTCACATAATCCTCATAAGACCCTTGGAGGTAGATGCTATTATTACCCTCATTTTACAGTTGAGGAAACTGAGGCATGCAGAGGTTGTGACTTGCCCACAATCACATAACTGGTAAGTGTTTAAAGCCATATTTGAACTTGTCTTCCTGATTCCAGACTGAACACTCTATCCACTGCACCACCTAGGTAAGGAGTTGAACCATGAGAGAGTAGTGCTATGAACACCTAGAGAAGAAAGAGCATTTGAGAGAGGTAATCAATAGTGTCAAATGCAGCAGATAAGTCGAGTATGATAAGGACTGAGAAAACATCATCATTTGGCTGATAAATTATGAGGCTCCAATGGGAAAATATCTTAGAAAATACTTTACAAACTTCAACACGCCAAATAAATTTCAACTATTGATATTGACAGATCAATATCAAATATTGATAGTATTACCATTGATTATGTGGGTGATAGCTGAGAAAAACTCTCAGAGAAAACGTCTCTGGAGAACTGAAAATGAATATCATTTGGAGGGTAATGGAGAAGCTCATGATGAGTATGAGTAGAAACATATACCTAAAAATAATCATCATAATTAAAAATAATAACTAGCATTTATATAACACTCTAAGTTTTGCAAAGCACTTTACAAATATTATGTTATTTGAAGATGAAAATGTGGTCAAAGAAACGTATAACTGAACAAGGAGATGGGCTGATACCATTGGGACAGTGGGGGCTGGAGTAACTGATGAGCAGTGCTAATCCTCCATTGGTATGCAGGGGAAAGTGTGTAGAAGGCCACCAGCACATTGGATGGACTCTTTGTGGTGAACATATGGGAGAACCAGGACCTAGGATGGGCAGGAATGAACAGGTTGGGATCTGTATTGTTAGAAGGAATATCTACTTCCCTAATCCATTTGAGTCTTTGAAGGTTGTTCTTAGCTATCACATCAATGAAAATAACCAATTAAGCTGGTTGTTTGGAGCTGTTGAGAGAGCTGATTGATTGAATTTCCCAATTAAATTTTTTTTTTTAGGCAATTGGGGTTAAGCGACTTGCCCAGGGTCACACAGCTAGTGAATGTCAAGTGTTTGGTCTGAGGCCGGATTTGAACTCAGGTCCTCCTGACTTCAGGACTGGTGCTCTATCCACTGCGCCACCTAGCTGCCCCCTACCAGTTAAAATTTTTTGAGAGGGCATTGTGAGGATATAGTGATGTGTAGGGTGTGCATACCAGAAAGCTATGACTCACATTTCATCAGTTGGATTTAAAACCAATAAAAAAAAAAGATGAGTTTCTTGATCGAGGCTTATTACCAGACTCTATATTGAAACGATGACATTCTGATTATATAAAACAACACACCCTCTTCTGAATTCTTTCATATCATTTTTAAAAACCACAAACCAAATAATGAAAAATTATTTTCAAAAAAAGAATAAACTTCCCCTTTTCTGGGAAATCTCAGTTAGGGCTTAAATATGTGAAGGTTTCTTTATTCCATGCTCTATGACTAACTTCCAAGAAACTCTTACTTTTTGGCATTTAAAGTCCTTTGCAATCGTCCTTCATTCTATCTTCTCAGGCTCATTGCACATGTCAGCTTCCCCCATTCTATCTTCAAGCTCAATAGGCCCATTTTCCACTCCCTGTACATCTTATTCTATCCCCCATCTCTGGACTTTGGTGCTGCCTGTCCCCGAGATGGAATGTACCTTCCTCTCACCTCTCCTTCCAAGAACAAACACTACAGTCACTTCAAAGCTCAGTGGGAATGCCATCTTCTACATGAAACCTTTCCTCGCCCCCCAACTTGTTAGTTCTTCCTCCTCCCCCAACATTACTATATTTATATTTTGTATTTACTTATCTGTATATGTACTTGCCCTAACAGAATGTAAACTTCTTAAGACCATGGACATACTTTGTTATTGCTTTTGTATTTCCAGCACCTAGGACAATTCCCTGCAAGGTAAGTGCTTAATAAATGTTTGTTGACATGCTTTTCTCTTACCCATCTTACCTTTCTGTGTTAAAGCAACCCAAGTGGCTTATTGTATAAGAGCATGTCCATTTGTAGTTGATTTTGTTTTTACAGACAGACAGACACTGGTTTGACCCTTAAACTGTGTTGGTTAATGACAAATCACATTAGGTCAAATGGTTGTAGGGTATGTAAACATGGCCTGTCATTATCCTGGTTTGCTTTCTCCTCCTTTTATAATCTGCCTACCTACAAGTACCTCCTAGAATTGTTGTGAGGATAAAATGAGATAATAATTGTGAAGCATTTAACACAGTGTCTGGCACATCATAAGTGCTATATTCAATTCAAGGTGGCATAGCGGATAAAGTGTCTGGCCTGGAGTTAGGAAGACTTATCTTCCTGAGTTCAAATTGAGCCTCAGACACTTTTAACTCTGTGACCCTGGGCAAGTCACTTAGCCCTGTTGGCCTCAGTTTTCTCATCTGTAGAATGAGCTGGAGAAGGAAATGGCAAACCACTCCAGTATTTTTGCCAATAAACAAAGCAAAACAAAACAAAAACCCAAATGGGCTCACAAAGAGTCCAACACAACTGAAACAATTCAACGACAAGGAAAACAGCAACAAATGTGCCAGGCACTGTACTAAGCACTGGGGATACAAAAAGATGCAAGAGACGGTCCCTGCCCTCCAGGAGCTTGCAATCTGTATAAATGTTAGCTATTGTTATTGTTGTTGTTGTCATTACTATTCCTTTTGGTACAGTAGTAATAGCTGACGGGTGAGTTGTACATATCCTAACTTAAAAAAAAATCTACTAGTGAGGAAGAAATGAAAGTGTAGCAAAGTTAGGGTACAGGACTGGGCATTAGCCCACTTGAGTCCTAGTCCTACTTCTGTCATTAAGTAGGTGTATATATAATCTTAGGTAAAAACAGAGTTGGGGTTAGGATGCAGTGACTAGGGCTATGCCCCAGGATGTCATATTCTGAGGGTAAACAGCATTTTCAGCCCTTGAGCAGCTAGAAACAATAAAACTTAGCACCTAGTTGGTGATAGTATTTAAAATAAGAAACTACTTAGATGGTACTGTTGTAGGGATGCTCTTCCCTTGCACTACCCTTTTCTCTCCTCAGCAACTTTCTCATCAGTGACCTTGCACTGACTTTGACTACCCACAAGGAGCAGTGACCTGGTTCTCTTCTCCTTCTAATTCCCCTCAATAGAAGGTGTGCCTCTTGCACCTTGCCCTGAAGGCTAAATTCCTAGTTATGACTATGTATTCCTCACCATGCTCTCTGTTCCAGTTTTCTTATCTGTAAAATGGTGATGTGGAAAGCTTCTATGTCTATTTCACAGGGTCACTTTGTTGAATATGATTAAATTGAATATGGAGACATCACCCAGCAAGGGCAGCACAGCTCAAGATAAAGACAAAATACATTTGTTAGTATCTCTTTTGATGATTTTTACAAGCATTAAGAAGTGCTTATACCTTTCTATTTTGGTTTCAGCCTATCATTAGCTATTGTTGAACTTCCTTCCACAATATTTGCTTGTTGGGCTGACAATTACTGTTCCTGCTAAGGAGGTGTGACTGGGCATGTAGTCAAAAAAACCCACCCCAACAACTAGCTTCATGGAGAAACAATAGTTCAGCCCTGAAGTGAACTGATTATACAAATAAATCAATGTAAATGAGACAAGATGCATTCTGGTTATGTAATCTTGAAATTGCTACCTGTCCTAAGGCTGACTAAGATGTACTACCTAAGTGGTATTGAATGTACATCAGGAGAAAATGAACCAGAGGGACCTATTTTGTACACGTATGTGTTTCCTGTTTCCTGAATGCCCTAATCAAATAAAATTCACAACTAGAGAGTGAAATGCAAACTCAATATCACTGGTCCTGTGTTCCCTAGTGAGTCTTACAGCATCACACATTGTCT